CACGCATTTCTAGCCCTTGGCTCAGTGTGTGCCTTTTCCTTCCCTTTTCCTTCACAACTGCTCCAGCCTGATCGCATAAACCCAGATGACATAGATTTAGAAAACGAACCCTGGTATAAGTTCTTTTCAGAACTGGAGTTTGGACGTCCGGTAAGTGAGGACAGAATATTAATATTTAAATGTGAGGGACAATATTTTTATATAAATTTACCAATTACCAACTTCAGCAAACATATCCCAGTAAAGTTAACGTGACCTTTTTTGAGAAAGGTCAATAAAGTCATCTAATGCATATAACTATCATTTCTTTAAGTGAAGCCCTAACTTGCCAGCGTTGTGACTTTAATAACTTAAATATGGACTATACATTAGGGCTGGGTTAGGTTCAATTTCTAATTTCCAGGAGGACGCCCTAGGAAGCAGCTATCTTCTTGTACCTGCTCAAACACCAACTGCAGAACTCAGTGAGAGAAGAAGAGAAAACAAACTACATATTTTCCTTTAAAAGTTGTTGTCCAGTGTATCAAATTTATCACTGATTATCTTTTATCTCCTTTTATCTAGCCATTGAAGCTGTTTTGTCATTCCTCTGCATAGGTAGGCAGAAACAGTCCAGATACATTCTTCTGAAAACGCTATGTTAACAGTTTTACTCATAATGATAACTTGAGAGTAGTGCCTCCTCTGAGATGAAGAATGTTGAGGCTTATCCCACAAAAATGTAACTATGACACTTCATGCTGTCTCACCAGTATTAAATACAGCTAGTACTGATTGAGTCATTCCAGTTGTAAATTTTACCATCTAAAGTTACTAACATATTACTTAGATGCTTAAAAAATTACAGAACACTATAACACATTCTTCCTCCCATTCTACCCTTGTGTGTCACTCTTGTACCTGATGTTGTCTACACTTAGTTTCTAACTGTGTCACCTTCTCCACATTTCATTCCTTGCTGCCATTGATTCTCCTCCATTCCATCTCTACACTTCTGCTTATATGATGCAGCCACCTAAAAAGCTTTTGGATTATGTTCAAGACAGTTCTTCTGGTGTTTCCAATGAGGTAAATGAATGATTCTTGTTCAGGTGATTCTCTTGGAAAGAAGGATTGGCATGCTTGCTGTTTGTGTCTGTTTGTTAAAATGTTGTGGGTTCCTCCTGATATCTATTAGACGTTTCTAATTCATGATCACTGTGTCTTTGTCTTCATATTTTTCCAGATCACTAATGCATTTGGATGTTGATCTTATTATCCTAGGAACTGTGAGTTCTTATCCCCAAAACTGCTCAGAGATTAACACTCAGAATTACACAACAGCTCATGCGTCTCTAAATCTTGACCAATTCCAACTTCTTCAGAGTTGGGCAAGTCTGTTGCTTTCACACACAATTAATACATCAGTATAATAGTATCTTTTATTAAAATATCTGACTGCAAATTCTATACGTCAAGTCAAAGCCTTTGTGTCTGAGCTACTGTTTCTCCAATTAAGTACTTCTGACTAAAGTAGCTAATCTGGAAACTGAAAATTTATAATCTTGTTGTAAATTTGCAACTGCAGAATTGACAGTCACTGAATAAAATATATGAGGCTGTCACTGCCATACTCTGATGGGAGAGATGCAGGCTTTCATTCTTCCTCCTATTCGCTCCCATTTTTAGAGTGCAGGGGCAAAAGTCAGTGACTCCAGCAATAACAACTCTACTTCATATGTTGGCTTTGCTTCTGTCATATTTCTGATTCACTTCCTTGGGATCTCCAAAAATTAAACAAAAATTGTGACCTTAAATTGTTACTTGTGTTGCAGATTACTCTGACTTGGTTTAAGCTCTACAAATTTGGAAAAAACTGTACAGCTGTGAAATTTAGGCCCAGTTCTCTGAGAAAATAAACTTCTAGGCCCTTCCTGATATTTGGGACTGCTTTTTGTATTAGAAGACAGTGTAAGAGTCCTAGCATACAATGATTTGGAATATAATCGTGTTCAGCAAGTCTGGGTAAAGTAAATATTCAGCAATATTTTTTCTGCGGAAAATATCGTGGAACAACTCATTAAAACATTAGAAGCATGATATAAACAAACCTGTTTGTTGTTTTTTACTTTTGCTTACCTTCTTCATTCTCAGTCACCATTAAAGCTTTGATGCATGAAAACAGCTATAACGTTGGCTTAACTGTAGATACATATTTCACCTCTTTTAGTAAAACTGTATCAAAGTATTCAGTAAAATCTGTATTTGTAGTTTGCTATGGTTGTTTCTAACACTGAATTATTTTTGTCAGGCAGCTGCCAACAGTGGAAATGAAATGCAACTATATCCACTACTTGCTTTCACCTTTCCCCTCTATCAGTGTGGTTATACCAGTGGGTAGAAGGTATAAACTTCACACAGCCTACGGATAACAATGTATGTGTGTGTTAATAATTGGAATGGTATGGTACAACATATATGCCTCCATATGTGTCTTTCAAAATCTTCAAAAGACTGCATCAAAGAAGGGGAAAAAGAGCGCATTACATCCGAGGTGATATCTTAAAGGAAGGAAAGGAAAAGCTGTGTAGCAGTACAGCAGTCTGTTTTGGGATGACACACATTTTTTTCTGTCTTAGGCTGATTGCTAACATGCTATATACAGCCTGGGGAGTGCTGCAGATAAAGAAGTGCTTTGTGGTTTTGCTGCAGTTGTGTGGTTTACCTCTTGCCTTCCATAGGAGCCAATGGGAGCTATGCTGCCCACAGGATTTGTGTTACGTTAGGATTTGTAGATGTTCCTTCTGTGTGGCAGTGCACATCTGCTTCACTCTGCTGTGTGGCGGCATGTGGAGAACTGTGGTTACTCTGCTGGTCTGAGCAGCTGTGCCAGCTCTGGCTTTTGTGGTTTTGCTGCAGACAGATCTTGTATTTAAATGTTTTGCTAAAACTTTGACACTGGACACTTAAAAAATTGGCATAAAGCAGTTTTCAGAAGATCTAAAGAAAAACTTGAAAATATGAACTGAAAAGTAAAGACTCAGGACCTCCTTCTGAATATATTCTTAAAAGAAATATCATGATATTTTGTTCAGGTGGGCTGAGTTAAAAGGAATGTACTCATCATTATCCCCACACGTGTTCCAAATATAAAATAGGGATCATTTCATAAGCACTACCAGCAGGTTTATTGCCTGTTTGAGAATGTTTGATGATGATCAGCACACCTCCGTAACAGAAGCAGCACCAAAGCACAGGCTTCTACTTACACTGCTGATGGGGGAAGGTGCATTAACTCTTCACTTGATCCTAGAGCAGACGGTATGGTTTTGTGTCACAGAACCCCTTCTCCGTAACTTACAGGTCCACTGACTTTACGAGTTAGATTACAGTACATGAAATGTTTTGGTGAACAATTACCCATTTCTGTTCTTCACTTTAAAACAAAAAAAAAACTAATTAGTGGACTGTATTAGTAAAGTCATACATAGGTTGTTTATCACCTAACAGCAATATAATGGCAAACGATTTAAAAAGAAAGCAAATCTTGAAATCTGTGTTTTACTGGGAAAACAAAACTTGCAAGAAGTAGCTTTTCATTCACATGCAGAAAAATAGGTTGGTTTTAGCAAATTAAAAAAAAATACTACGCTGTGATAAAGCATGACAGTATTCCACAGTACTGTGCACTCTCTCATCATGGAATAAAGTAAGTGTCAAGCACGACTGCCCATTAAGACACCTGAGAAAGAGGGACATCACTGTATCAGTGAGGCAAACCTTCACCGATGGCAGCATCTAACACTGGGAAAAGCTGAGTTCATGTCACCAGCACTGTTATTCTTCTCCCAACTGGACACTGCTACAAAAGACCTGCTCGCCACACGCTTCCCATTTCTTGCCAACATGGGCCATGTCCCACTGCCTCAGCTTGCTCCTCTTGGCAGCAGCTTAATGCCTAGCTGGTGGGAACATCTCTGAGGCTGAAAACTGCATGTAGGTATTGCAGGATGTCATATTAATTTGTGGATATGTTAAAGAATAAATACAACAGTAATTTATAGCAGATAGCGATACTGTTGCTGGAACTTTTAAATGCCACTTTCTCCTTCCAACTGTTGTGCAAAGACTCTGGCATATGTGTAAATGAGATGCACAGCTCCTCTGCTGTAAATAAGATGCACATGAATAGAGGAGATCATGTCTCTTGCAGAATACTGTGCCTGAAGGTTGTTTTGTATGCGCTAGATGACGATTAGCCCTTTTAGTCTAACACTAAAATAATTTCTGAAGCTTTTATTTGCAGCTTTTATGGAAAGCAATGTTATAACTAGTTCTGCCACAGTATTTTAGAAGTTAGATGAAGTATAGCTGCTTGAGAAACAGCTAGAATGCTTACATGGTGATGTTACTTCTGCCAATCCTTTGGTGTGGAGAAAAATCTGTAAAAAAATTTCCTTTTAGAGAATATTTAGAGAATAAGTCTAGAAGGCTTCTACAGAGAGGAAAAATAGTTGACCATGAACATATGGTGGCCAATAATTGGCCAGAAAAGTCCTAGGTCTTTCAGCTGGTTTTGCTTCTGGCTATAACTGATTGTGAAATTCTGGTGAGTAATTGAGATGGAGGAGAAGCTTTGCAGATGTTGCTCTGTACAAGGAGGAATCATTTTCAGATTTTTATGTTTCATAGTCAAAGATAATTTCAGGTGTTGTGTATCCATTTTTGAAAACAGCATAGAGAAGCACGGCTCTAAATCATTATTTAGTAGTGCTTTAAAAACAAAAATATAACTGAAATAGAACACAAAAATAAATCTAGTGATGCTTTTTAGAAACTGCCTGACAATATTGCAATATCTGTGTGCTGGAGTGCACAGTGTGCTAATCACTGTAGTCTGCTTTTATAGGATGTCACAGAGTAGCAAACATAATAATCCAGTACTATAAGCAGAAATTGACACCTTTTTTTTTTTTTTTCATATATAGGCATGTAATAAATTTATATATTTGTTTTCACAGACTTCCTTATATCATCACTCTTCAACAGACAGAGGCCTGGACAGGCCTTCCAGGTAAGAAATACAGCTTGAGTGACTTTAGTACAGATTATGCAGTCTAAGGGCTTTCCTTGTGACCTAAAGCAAGCAGATGTTGGAAAGAGTCAAATTTTAACTTTCAGCTTGTGGATTCCTAAGGCAATGAGAGGTACACGGAGAGGATGTTCATATTTTGATACTCAAGTGCAATTCTTAGTTTTGTTTTTCAAGGACTTACTGTTTGCATTCAGTATAATCCATGCTGTATTCTGGGTCTTTCCAGCTGAGCTTCTGTCTCAGCTTCAACACTCCATCATTTATCCTTACTGCTTGCAGCGCTTTTCTGTGCTATTCCCACAAGATGAGCTTGTTACCTCATCTATTCTATCGCCTTTTCTCATTTTTACACTGAACTTCTACTCTAGTGCTAACAGCAACTTACCATTCAGATTTTTTTCTGCAGCTGCATTTTACTACTCACACTGTTATTTCCTACTCATAAAGGCAGCTCCTTTAATATCTTATTCAGCATCCTGAATAATCAGACTGCTTAAGCTGTCTACATCTCAGTTTGGTACAGTTATCTCAGTAACTAGATCTTCTGGTGATACTGCCACCTTATCAAAATTAATATGGAAAGACTTTCAAATCATTAGTGGCTGATACTTTTGCAGTCAAAGTCATGATTATGAAAGCAATATAACGATTTTATATCAAACTTTGATACAATCAAGTGAAGAAAAAATTCAGCTTTTCTCTGTCAAATGTGCTGTAAGAGAGTGCTTCTCCCCTGTGCATATTTCAGATGTATTTCTTCTGGCATTGTTCAACCATAAGCAAATAATGCAATTACGAGCTTGCTTTTTAATTACTGAGTTGTTGTTACAGAGATGAGACTGCTACTAATACTGGTTATTTTTATAGTTCCGCAAGTACTGCGAGTGACTACAGGAAAAGGAGGAAGTCAGAACCTGCTGTAAGTCATCAGAGAGCACACAGCGATCAGAATGCAAACAGGCCCAGCCTGGGCCGTACAGATATGCAAGGCCCATACACCACCCTTAGAAAGCCTTTAACTAGCTCGTCTCCTTCTTCTCCATCACGAGCAAAAGGTAAGAGGACATCATATTTGTTAGGAGGAAGTCTGATGACAATGTGTTGTACAATCTCTTGGTAGTAAATACAACTGTTGTCCACTGTTGCTGAGTGCACTCTGTAGGGAGATTTACCGTTTGAGGGGCTCTGGACCTTTCCTTAAAGAATAACTTGTTTATCTTTACACGTGTGTGCGATTCTAAGCTGATTAAAAGCTGGACTTGTAGTAAGGGTTTTCCAGTTTCATCTGCCCCTTCTAGGACACAGAAAATTGGTTTATTAATAAAACTTTAAAGAATTTTACATTATGGTACAAATCATATTCTTCATTAAAGTGCACTTTTCTCTTATTATACTGTCCTTAGGATATGGAAAAAATAAATCGGGACAAATGCAATGTGAAATTAAAGATGTATTTCCATAATTGCAGAGCTTCAGTTCAATAGCTGGTGTCTTAGATAGCATCAATTATTGGGACATACTTTAATCAAGCAAATATTCATAGTCAGATTTTTAATTTCATAAATCATAGAATGGGCTGTGTACAAAGGGACCATAATGATTATCTAGTTTCAACTCCCAGGCTATGTGCAGCGTCACCAACAGCTAGACCAGGCTGCCCAGAGCCACATCTAGAATCCTTGAAGTACTTAGTACACAATATACCAATCTAGATTTTTAGTTTTTTTCTTTTGTTTTTTTTTCCAAGTAACTCATGGTCCCACTGCTGTTCTCCATGTCTCTCCAGAAAAGAGACACTGGAATTAGGTGGTTTAGTTTGGGAGTTTTAGGTGTTTTTATTAGCAAGACAAAAGGTTTCCAGTAAAATATATGATGGATGTCATATACAGAGTACTATCTATTACAATACCCATCCTTGTATCAAAGAAAAATAGTGAGAAATATTAAGAATGAAGTGATAGAAGAACAGATTTATTTTAAAACCACTGTTAAGATTAGTAATTTAAAAAATAATCTCATCCATTTAGTGCACCAGGGTAGAAGTGAAAAGGTGGTAAACTCCTTTTCCCCGCATTTACTTTTTACTACACCACTGATAAGAAGTACTAACTGTGACTTAAATGCTTCCCATGTTGGAGAACATGGGAACAGTAGTTCCACACAACTTCTTAACTTTTGAACCAATTCATTCTCTTACATTATGAAATACAGCAGAATGTTAACTTTTTGGGGAACCAACCATTTTGTTAAAAGAGCAGCACACTGTAAGTCTTTTGATCTGCATGGGTTTTGAATTCAAGTGTTTCAGTTTCTGACACAGATTCAAACTGTTCTTCTAGAAAGCAGACTGAACTGATTGAAGCATGTGTCCTGAACTGAACGCTGCCACTTTAAACCACTTCTGAAAGTTCAGCTCAAATTCGAGAGACCAGTGTTCCAAATTTGTCTCATAGTGACTTCTGTGAACTGTCTGGACATTAATGAGATCAAAAACTAATGTACAGATTTCAGAATACACAGATATTTTTGAAATATAGTTAAGCCAGTATTTGAAATATAGTTAAGAATGTATAACGAAATAATTTCTTAAACTCAGCACATACTAATAAGAAATTTAAATTAACTAAGAGAGATAAATTTTGTCCAATTTTTACATTTTCTGTAGTTTTAATTTAAGTTCCAGGGGAAAAAAAAAAAAAAAAAAGGTGATCTATTTAAACATAAAAAATGATGGTCTTAGCTCTAGGGGTAAAACACTTCAGTCCCTCCAAATTCAATTTATCTCAAAATTTTATAGTTCTGGAGTCTAGATTTGTGGTTTGACTTCATCTTTAAATTTTATTCAGTTTGTTGTTTTTTGTTTTTTTACCTGCTTCTTCATCAGTATTGATAGTTGTTTTCTTACACCGTTTTGTTTTTGTTTGGGAGGAGGACATCACCACAATTCTTAAGGAATCTGGATTTTTTTTTTTAATGTTCAAATTATCATTATCAGCATTATTAAAGCTGGAAAATGGTTTATTAGCTCTGCAGTCCTGGTCTGTATAAATGTATGCACTGACCAAAGCTGACAGAATAGATGCACTAACAGCTGTCTCTTTCCTAGTCTTTCTGATACTTACTGATATTAATTCCAACTTTCTGAATCTTTTAATTTCTGGCAATGTCTCTCTTTTATCATGCTGCTCTATGGATTATAAAGGTGGGGATATTAGCAAAGTATATCCATCCCTCCTCAGTTATTCAGTGCACAACCACAACACCTCAAATGAATTAGATTACTGTAGCACTTACAGACAGCATTTAGCTGTTCCTAATGATTCAAGGAGGGCAATCAGCTACAAGAATGGCTGGCAAATGACTCGACAAAATGCAGAAGTATGGAGCAGCACAGAAGAAACAACTTCTCCAAAGAGAAAATCTCGTAGCTGTGATGATCTTTTAACAGATGATCGGGATAGCTTTCCCGATGCACAGGCCAAGTCTGAAAGCATGGGCTCTCTTCTATGTGAAGAAGATGCTAAAGAGGTTTGCTCAATGAACTGGGCATCCCCATATGCACCTGAGGGCCGTGGTGGTGGTAGGGCAAGAGTTCGTCACAGATCTGCACACGATGCCCCAGGTTTCCTTAAAATGTACAAAAAGATGCATCGTATCAATCGCAAGGATTTGATGAACTCTGAGGTGATCTGTTCTGTGAAGTCCAGAATACTGCAGTATGAAAAAGAACAGCATAAAGGTATTCTTCAGGGATGGAGAGAGTCTTCTACTGAAGAGGTGCCCAGAGACATGGTGCCAACCAGAATATCGGAATTTGAAAAACTAATTCAGAAGTCAAAATCAATGCCAAATCTAGGTGATGAAATGTTGTCAAACATTACACTAGAGCCTCCTAAAAATGGTTTATGTTCACAGCGGCGATTTTCTATCGAGTCCCTGCTGGAGGAAGAAAATGAAGTCAGACATCCCTCTCAGGTACAACGGAGCTACAAGTCTAAAACCCTGGTGCCAATTCATATTGAAGTGACCAGTGATGAGCCACAACGGTCACATATGGATTTCTCAGACAGTGATCAAGATGGAGTGGTTTCTGACCTCAGTGACTTTATCCAGATAGAGGGGTCATCTTTTTGTAGTGAAAGTGACTTTGATCACTATTCCTTCACATCATCTGAAAGCTTTTACGGATCGGGCCATCACCACCACCACCATCACCACCATCACAGGCATCTCATCAGCTCCTGCAAAGGGAGATGCCCAGCATCCTACACTCGCTTCACCACCATGTTGAAACATGAAAGGGCTAAACAAGAACCTGCTGAAGATCCAAGGAGACAGGAGGCAGAATCTGGCCTCTCCAAGATAGCATTCCTAGTCAGCCCAGTGCCTTTCCGAAGGAAAAAAAGTGCAGCCCCTAAAAAACAAACTGAAAAGACAAAACGCAAGTCATCTGTATTTGAAGCACTAGATTCTGCACTTAAGGACATCTGTGACCAAATAAAAGCTGAAAAAAGAAGGGGAAGCTTGCCTGACAACAGTATATTACACAGACTTATTACTGAGCTGCTTCCAGACATTCCAGAAAGGAATTCATCTCTTACAGCTCTGAAAAAGAGTCCCATGCACCAGCCTTTTCATCCACTGCCTCAAGATGGTGCTACTCATTGCCCACTTTACCAGAATGATTGTGGAAGATTACCTCTTAGTGCCTCTCTTCAAGACATGGACACAACTAACAACAATAATCAAGAAAATGATAGTGCACTGTGTTTCCAAGGTGGATTCACTTTCTTCCTCTATCCTTGTGATTTATTCCCTGTATTTCCTGCCCTTTCTCATTTCATTTTTATTTGTGTAGTATATAAGAACAGTTCATCCCACAAAACTAATGCAAGAAGACCGTTATTTTTACATCATCACAAAACTAGAAAAATGTGTTGTCTATTCCCAAAATGAAGTAATCTGGACAACTGGATAAATGGTGTATTTCAACTATTAGATAATTAGTGCTATAAATAATAATGGTGTTATTAACTTAAGCAAGTCCAAAAACAAAACAAAACAAACCTTGCAGAAAGTGAATGGATGTGACAGGATGCATCATTAAGATAATGGTCAAGCAGAAAACAAAATTCAGGGAGCCCTTCCTTGAATATTTAAACCAAAAATATCAGCATTAAAAACTATACAGTAAAATGTCTAATTGATAAAAATGCTGTTAATTCTGCCAGTGTAATAGAGAGTTGTTCCTGTTTTTTTCATGAAAATACACTATTTCCATTCCTTCGTATTACTTTTTGTGAATAGACCTGAAAGTTATTTTAGGAAGTTTTCATTTTCACTGTTCAAATGGTTTACAATCTCTGTGGCAGTAAAAATAATTATTCTCAACAAATTTTAATGTAACTATGAAGTTTTCAGAAATATCACAGAAGAGAAATTCTCAATAATCAAACCTTTAAAGATGGGTTTGATCAAATAACACATAATCAATATCATAAAGACATTCTTTCATCCATTTGTGATTTCAAGAATAGCCTTTTAAAGTCATTAAATTCTCAAAGATGCCACTTCATAGAGGGCTGGATGTGTGGAAGCAGAATTATTTAACATAGAAATGCTGTCATTTAAAGAATACATGACAGACTTTCAAAAGACATTAAACTAAACCATCTAAGATACATTTGTGTACTCTTACTATCTCCAGTTTGGTATTAAAATATTGCAAAGTTCAATTAAAAAAAAAAAAAAAAAAAGATCAAATAATGCTTTGAGAAAAAGAGAAGCAGAGCAATTAACAACTGACAGTAAGTTTCAAAAATTCTGAAATTGTAGTCATCAGGTATCACATTTGCTTGAAACTAATTTTCCAGTCCTTGGAAGTAGGGAAATCCATAGTGCAGAGTAAACATAGATTCCCAATAGCTTCTGTGACAACAAGGGAATCACATAAAGAAAGCTGTCCACAATTGGAACTATGATAAACTTGCTGGGGATGACATGCGCTTGCATTCAACAACCTAAGTGATGCAGTTAAATAATTTTTGCCCGCACAGTATTTATCAATAGCCTGAAGTCCTCATGGCTTGGACAACAGCCCACTGAGGTCTCTGTTCTGTAAAACTGCCACATACTGCAGAAGTTTTTAATTCTATTTTTCCACGCGTACTTAGAAATATAGAAGCTTGGTAAGAGCAGATCATGTGAATGAAGTCAAAGGGAGGCAAATATCAGTCAGAAACCTCCTGCAGCCGATGTTAGGAGACTACAATTGCTAGTAAATCTCAGAAGTCAAGGGACAGCTTATTTCATTCGGTGATCTGAAATAATTCCATTACATTTTAATTCACGCTGAAAACTTACTAAGCAATAGAAAGTGCAAGATTTTTCTTTTTTTCTTTTATTAAAATACAAAAAGAGGCATTTGCCATCCTGTAGTGTACCATCCTCTAGTAAACATTGGAAAACTCTGCTTTAGAGAGGATCTGCCACAGAGATTGGTGAGTAATTATTTATAATTCCATCTTTTTATGAAATAAAACTACTAACAAGTTGGCCTATTGAAGAAAAATTGTTTCTTCTTATTATCTCATTGAGGCATGCTTTAGTCATGTTTTGTGCACGTAATTGTGATTATATTGTTGGCATTCAGAAAAGCTTCTCACAACCTGATAAAGTCTCAGTACTCCTCCCGTGTCTTCCATTTGGTCCAGCAGGGGTGCATCACTTCATACAGTAAGGCATAATTTTGCTTTTCCCATTCTCTGTTACACATTCTTCTGCTGTGGATCAGAGGAAAGCCTTGGCTTAAGAGTTGGTATCTTTGTTTCTTTAAAGATCAACTTTAACCATAACATAACATGCTTTAAATGTGAAATTATAGAATCAGTATCTCTTTATTCCTTTAAAAGATACCAAGTAATATGCCAGATTTCAATGTGTTTATTTTACCACGGTTTCACATAATGATGTTCTGTTTTCAGTAGACCAGGAAACTCCTGGAAACTATTCTGCTTTCACCGATGTGGGACGATGTACTCCAAGGGACAGAAGAGGAGCTACAGATAAAGAGGTAGCAAACCAAAAATAAATAATGCAGCAATATCCATATGGAAAAATCAGAAACATTTCTGAGACAAGATTTTTGTTGGTTATAAGACAACATAGTGATACAGAAAAAAGGAAGCACCACTCAACACCACAGTATTTAGGTGGGACAGAATCCTTCTTTTTCATTAAAGAGACAGGTACTTAAAGTAAAAGAATATCAAATAATGTAAGATAAGCTGCATCTTCTACTTACATTTAAATGGACATGGAAAAAATCACAGAATTGCACAAGAAACTGCCTCAACAGTTTCAAGTCTGACATCTGTAGTACATCATTACTTTTGTTTTAAAAGAGGAAAAAAAAACCAAAATACTGCTGTTGGTGTGTTACACAGAAAGCATTATCCTAACAGCAATCTCTAATGTCTGTAATAGTTCTGGTGATTGTGATTGTCTACCAATTGCTTATTTTAATGCTTTGGCAGAGGAAATGGAAGCAAGTGTATAATCTCTAAAGAAAGTAATACAAATTATCACTTGAAATATGCTTAAGAAAGTGATATACTCTTTTGTGTATGTGTGTGTGTGTGTAAGTGTATAGTTTTAAGTTCTAGAACTTGAAGCACTCTATAAGCAGGCTTCAGAGATTTCATTCAATCATAAAGTAACTATATTTATATTAACTAGCATCTGTAGACTACAGATTACAGAACAGATTAACATTTTCCATTAATACAGTACACTCTTGAGTTACCATAATTTTGTGCAATAGTTGTATCTTGTTTTTGTAATTTAGGAGCTGAGAACAAGCAAGTGAACACTGAACAGCAAACACTCTTTGCACTTAATAATATGTAAACTAACATAAGTATTTCCTCTAGGCTACCTAGCTTGTTAAATGGTACAGCTTAGACCTGGTTATAGCATTAGAATTCAGTTCCACTTATACCCCAATGACATGCTGCAATTCAATTGAGTCTTAAGTCCAAGGAAGACTGCTCATTACGAAATAACAGCTAAAAAAAAAGTTTCAGGAGGTGTATTGGGAATTCTGAGTTTCAATATGAAAAGATGTTAGGTATACAAGAATGGCTTGTAGGGTAAGACTGCTATAATTTAAAAAACAATGAGAGGACAAAAAACCTATATTTTCAATCTGTTTTGTAGATTTTGCATTCAGTCAGTCCCACTGTTCTTTTAATACTATCTCCATTCTTTCATTCTTTGGTTTATCAGTTACAGTACTAAAAAAGAAACTTAACGAAAAGGATATTCCCTCTCATCCAAAAAATGATTTTAATAACAGCAGAGAAGAGAAAAATGATTTATATTTAGGCCATCCTACGTGAAGGAGAGCTGTAAATGGAGTATTGTATCAGTATCAAAAAACATAATTTGACAGGATCGCTTTAATAACTTTGGGGACTTTTTTTTTTATTAAAGGCAATGCTCTAGGTAGGTGCTGGTTCTATTTTTAAAACACTGTCCCAAATACCTAACAACCTCAGAAAAGTAAGTTGTATATTTAATTACCTAAATAGAGCCTCACTGTGAGAACTGCGGTAAAGTATGTGCTCTTTTTTTATTAGATCTCGGTCACCTTTTTAAAAGCTAAAAATTGTTTGCCATATAGTAATACTACCTGAATGTGTTAATCATCTTGCCTACTTTTCAGAAACTGCCAGCTAGAGCTGTATATGACTTTAAAGCTCAAACTTCTAAGTAAGTACTAGACCTTTGTTCCTTTAAGTATTCACAGTCAAGGAAAATCTTTCTAGCACTTGACACAGCTACCTGCTACTAAAGCCAGTTTGTACAGCCAAATGCCATGAAAGAAAAGGACCCCACCTGCTGCTATCACAACAGCTTCTGCATTAGCATGCTGCATAAGAAGTTTTGTAATTAAAATGTTATAAATTATTCTATTTTCCATTGTACTTACTTGAACATGTGAGTGGCTGTGCATCTTCACCTTCTTATAGCAAGTCCTCAGGGATGCCCACTGAATGGTCTTTGTTGTAAATCATATTTAGGTTCCATAAAGTAGCATGCTTAGTGTGCTGTTGTAGATAGATTGCTTTCTCACCAAAATTCTGCACAGTGCTTCAGAATCTTCCATACGTTTGTCTTACCACAGATTTTCTGCAGGATGTAATATATCCCATACCAAGATAAACTATAGTGGTCTGTCAGGGGAAAAAAAATAATAATAATAGTAGTAAAAATCAGAAAATGCTGTTCTAGGTTGAGGAAGCCAGAGGAGAACATCATACTTCATTACTGCTGTTGTCCTGGTGATCCAGGGTGTTTGAGCATTCTTTAGATGAGGTACAACGTGATCACTAATATTGCATTAGCTGTGTAAACTGACAACTTGAATTATCAGAACAGCAGATTAGGTCCTGAAAAAAAAGACAGTACAGCAAATACCACCCAGGCCAGGTACTGAAAATGTTCTTAATCATTTGGATAATTCCCTTTTTCAGTGTCCGATGTTAAGCATATCACAGGCCTTGATTCTCAGAAATGGTGAGAACATAATCATGCTTCTGATCATCTTGATCTCAAAAAGAAAAAGAGTTGACACAGAAGCACTCTAAGTTATGCTGCTGCAAAAAGGTAGTAACTGACCACAGAAGCATGCAATGTGTTCAGTAGTTTTCCCTACCAATTTGTCAAGAACACCAAGTATGTCTCTGATACCCGTCATAACACCTGCTTCTAAACAGGGGATATCGAAGTCATCATGCTTGCCTGCAGATACTATACTGTCCACTTTGATAATAACTACAAATACTTTCTTGGAGGTAAAAATTAGGCCTATGTGACTTACCAATAATATCCAGTATTCATAAATGTGAATTTTTTTTTTTTATAGGGTATAATCAACTGGTAAGCGTATCACAGCTGTGACATCTTTTCTCCAAATGTTTAGTTGCTACATTTTGTTTCAGTTTTGAACTTAGAAACAGCAGGAGCTATGCAGGTAGAGTTCAAATGTAAAGTTATAAACACCTGATTTAAATGAATCTGTTACAGAGAGCTGTCCTTTAAGAAAGGAGATACTGTCTATATCCTCAGGAAAATTGATCAAAACTGGTATGAAGGTGAGCACCATGGAAGAGTTGGAATATTCCCAATTTCTTATGTTGAGGTTTGTTCTTTGTTTTAATTCCTTGAATTATTTTGGGTAACAGATTCACAAGCTACATGCAAATGATTAAAATCTGTTGGTATTTTTCTCCCTAGAAGCTTTCTCCTCCAGAAAAAGCACAGCCTGCCAGGCCGCCTCCTCCTGCACAGATTGGAGAGATTGGAGAAGCTATTGCCAAATATAATTTCAGTGCAGACACAAATGTGGAGTTATCACTTAGAAAGGTATAGCTTAGAACTATTTTTATCCAAATAACATTATGATGTCTTCTGCTAAATAGAATTAATATATACATAAATACAGTGCTTTGGTACTAAATGTGCCATACACAAAGCAATGTAATGGTAGAAAGCTGCTGACATAAGCTATTTGCAGGCAGCTGGGAAAGAATGCAAGCTAATGAGCTTAAATATTTTGTGTATATAAATATAATTGCTATATGCAAACACCTCCAAACTGGCAACCCAGTTTTCTACTTTTCATTTCAATTATCCATTGACCTTTTTAGGAATTGTTACTGTCTTCATTATCACAGTGAGGCTTCTACTACAGAAGAAATAAAAATACAGAAAATAGAAACAGCAAAATTCAGAAGAAAGGCTCAAACGTGTTTCTAAAAGTACTGGCTCTTGAAAATTTATCATCTTAATAACAGTCTGCTCTTTCTAACATATTCCTGTCACGTCTATACACATACATGTTGGTGATGATCCTTTATTATACATGATCAGAACAAGTGTTTAATTGCTGGGGTTTGTCTGACTGAGATATTCTCGCTGTAGGAACTTTATTATTCAAGGTATTATGCACTTAGTTATAAGTATTACATATTATTAACTCACTGGAAAATTTTACCTCATTTATTTTCTTTTTTAAATGAGTTAATTTTCATAGAAGTTATTCAGTGTTCCTCCTTTTGTGTAAAACTAAGGATACAGCTTTTTGATGCTGAATTAACACTTGATCTAGCATCACTGAAGGTAATGGGTATTTTTCCACTTCTTTGAGACTGGTGAATTTCAAAGAGGTCTAGAAAAAAAATATCAGGAATAGAAACAGAGAGAACTAGAGGTGGGGGGAGGCAGTTTGATTTCTTTTTTTTTTTTTTTTTTAAATCCCCTTTCATGCTGATTGTGGTGGTCACCATCTTGTCAGCCCTATTTTGGTTTGTTTTTAATAGTTACATTTCCATCCTAATAATGATAATTTTAGGGTATTCCACAAATCTACTACTGAAACGAAAGAACGAAAAACTAATAAGGAAGGATTTGTTCTAAAATGACAGGGTAAAAAGCACATCACATCAACCAAAAGAAGGAGCTCATTAAGTTTCAAAACAGAGAAATGTTTAAATAAAAAGTTGCTATTTTCCATTTCAGTTTCTAGGCTCTCTAAAAACAGTAAGTGAGCCACTGCCCATCTGTCTTCCTACATAGATACCTGCTTGTGCAGCATGCTCAGTGGGAAAAGCATTTATCTCTTTTTCCCTATGAAATAATTTCGAACTTTTCATTTCCACTTATTACAGTTTTACTTGATAACAAAGCACGTGTGTGGATTTAATTATTTAACTTCTATTATCCTTAGGGAAAATGGAGCGTTTAAATTAATTAATTATTCAGGGGTTGTGGACACTCCATCCCTGGAGGTGCTCAAGAGCAGGTTGGATAGGGCTCTGGGCAACCTGCTGTACTACCAGATCTGGAGGTTGGTGGCCCTGCATGTGGCAATGAGGTTGGAACTTGATGATCCTTGCAGTCCCTTCCAACCCAAGCCATTCTATTATTCCATATTACAATTGGGGTGTTAGTTAGTAGACTGGCCAACAATTTAAACAGTAGTATTCCTATGAAAAGTTTGCATTAGTCCTCCAACCAAAAGAGAGATTCTGCTGAACAGCAAGTGCAGTCTGTGACCATCCTCCTTTTGCTGGAATGGTAACTTGGTTTACATGGTTATTATAAATGGCAGGAGAAAGGTGAAGGCAGGAACAGTACTGCAGGGAAAATAATTCTGTGCATTAAAATAATATCAGTGATTGGGAAAAAAAAAGTTACTATTCATCTGCTGATAACCCACTTTTATAATGCATTCCAGGGAGACAGAGTCGTACTTCTTAAGCGAGTTGATCAAAACTGGTATGAAGGTAAAATACCAGGAACCAACAGACAAGGCATCTTCCCTGTTTCCTATGTAGAAGTTATCAAAAAGAATGCATCAAAAAGTGCTGATGACTACCCTGATCCTCCTATACCCCAAAGCTATTCTAGTGACAGAATACACAATTTAAGTTCAACTAAGGTAAGGATTTTTCTTCTTTGATATCACTCCTAGAGTGGGTTTAGAAGGACTTGTAAAATTTTTGTTAATGTAATACATAATTTATGCATTCAGTACACTCTTTTCTTTCTTGAATATATATTGCATTTGTAGAAGTGCATTACTAGCTTGTCATTGAAGTATTTTAATAAAAGCTTTACGTTCTGGCAGAATAGCTGCTCAGAAAAAAAAATAATAAAAACTTACTGTGGAGTCTAGGACAAAATTTGAGCATCAAGGATACTGTTAGCAAATTCTTTATAATGCAATGTGAAGATATATCTGTCATCATAAGAGCCTGCAATCCCATAAGCATGCAAAGGGCATGAGAGGGTAGTTTGCAATGGGACACAGCTTGCCAAGAGCAAAGCTATGCCTTTCAATGTAAAAGAGAACAGCTAGTGATTCTGTGCTGTAACCTTCCTCCTTTTGCCACTGACACTCTACAAGGAGGCTGTTGGTTGAAGAGCAGTTCTTTATAGCGGTATGACAACAGTGACAGCATTGTATCATTCAGTAGTGAGTAAAATGTCATCACATTTTCAGTATTTGGATTCAGACCTTCATAGCTGTGATTTTTCACACCAAACATGTCATAGTTCCTGAATTATTTTCCTTCTAGTTCACAACTACCACAAATCATGTTACAAAAAAGATTCATGTATTCCAGTTTATCATTCACTTTTGATATTTCACAGTATCCTTTTCAGATATAGAATCAATAAAGCTTCTGTATGCAAATTGTGATTAGTGTTAATGCATTATCAATCAATGATTTTGAATGCTAAAGATGGAATCTTTTCCAAATTTTTATTATTGTCAATCTCTTCACCACAGGGCAGTATGTTTTCTGTGAAATTTATAAAGCATCTATCCTGCCATTCTGTTTCAGATGGTTTTCCCATTTTCTACTCTCACATACTTGTATAGTGGTGCTTATTTAGATGCTTTGGGATAAGTTCCATATTTATTTACAGCTTTTGGGACAGTCAGTTGTCTCTGACAATACTGCTTATGGCTAAGCAACATGAGTTGTTTTATAGTATTTGTTCACAGAGAAGTAGCAGCAGCTTTCTATTCCATTCCAACAAAACTTTTGAACTGAAATAGTATCAAGTTCTGTATCCCCAGAGTGAGGTATTCATGAGCTACAGCTTTTTCTCATTACAGTAAGCGGAAGGTCATTTAAGAGCATGAAGCAACTTAGGTGCTGCATGCTGAAGAACTGTCTATATTTGGAGACACCTCTCCCCCCATTTTCTGCACACTTCCTGCAGCTAACGCTGGTTTTTGTCTAACCCCTGTAATCTTGTCAGTGATCCCTTCCTGAGCACAAGTGATGCTTTGGAGTATCTACATTCAGATTAAAAAAATAAAAATAAAAAATACATGCCTGTTAAAAATTAGCCTGAAATTTCTTATCTTTATAAATTATTTAAATTCTTCTATGAAAGTTGAAAAGCCTAAACTTCAGGAGCCTTCACATTCCTCCTGTATTCATTCACTCTCTCCTATTCAAAGTTATATTGAATATTGTCCGGAATTTTTAAATTAAAAAAAGAAATAAATCAGGTAACAGCCATTTAGAATAGAAGATAAATCATTTAGTCAACATACCTTAAGTGCATCCTGTGAGAACTGCAGAGCTATTGGTGGCTGCTCCTGTTCTAAAGCTGCTGTGATCATCTTGAGAGAGCAGGTGCAGAACATCCAGACATGCTACATGCTTCTCCTGTAGTCCACCTGTGTTTGATACAGGGAGGTTATATGGACCAGATTTGCCTCCTCTTTGCAAGCAAGGATGAGATGAACTCAAATCTTTCTTACTACTGTCACATCACAGCAGGTGTACATTTTCACCACTCTGTATGCTTTTAAATAGTGAAAATATTGCAGAACCATTGGATTACAAGTCTGTCCTGCCACTAATAATATGCAATAGATTAGTTCTCAAGTGAAGGAGAGCGGCATTAGTCTTACTAACGGTAAACTTTTGTAATCATCTGGTTCTGGTCTAAGTAAAAAAATATAAAAAAAATAAAAAGCATCACACTATTGACATTCTTAAACAGAGATGTTTCTTTCAACTGTATTCAGAAATGCCCATGCCATATATGCAACTGTCTTGTTCCTGACTACCAAGGAGGCCTTTAGTAGCCTGAAGGTGTTCTCAAGTTTACCACCATGATTGATGCTACTCTTCCTATTCCTTTGGGAAGTTTTAGCATGTAACTCATTTTATAACTCCTGTTGTTAGAGAAATTGTTCTAAACTTCTCTGGTCTAATGGCAATAAAAATAAATAAGGAGAACAAAGCTTGCTTTTGATTTATATTAACTTGGCCTAGAGCATCTGTATCTTTAATCTTTAGTGCATCCTGTAGCCATAGGAAACTAAAACTGACAATGTCTCCTGTCATGTGACTTCTAAACCACATGTCTGAAGCCCTTTTCCAAGAGTAAAGATGAGGGAAAGAGATGGAGTGCTGTTAGTAACACTCCAGCAATGTTTTAGCAGATCACACTATCAGTTTGGAGCCTCTATACTTTGGTACAGAAGATTCTATAACAAAGGTTTGTCTAACTTTAAAATAAAGCTATTTGCCTCAAGAAAATTCCAGTAGAAGGTAAGTAAATTAACATTTCTAATTCTAACAATGGTGTCAAACCATTTTTCATTCAATTTTAATTTTGAGGATTAATAGTTATAAAAATGCATTTTCAGTATTTACTGAAGCAATGGATATCTACTGATGCTGTGTACGTATGACTCACCAGTCTCATTCTTACAAAAGGACGTTTCTTTTACCAGAAGGATACTTCAATCAATATTATGTAATGGTACTCAAAATATACTGCTGTATACTGTGCTGTCACTATTTTAAAGCTTTGTTATTGGCTGCCTACGTTCAGTTAGAATTGAGTGTACCTTTCACGAATGTTGATGTCATTTTAAACTGATAGGGTTACTTTCAATGAAAAATACTTATGCCTTAATAAAAGTATGCTATGTATTTAAGATGTTTCTTAAGCATGTACTGAGAAGTACAAATATTAACATTAGGATAATTAGAAATCACCTCAGATGCTAGAGCTTAACTTAATGGCACCAGAAGTGTACTTTTTGACAATCCTATGCTCAAAATAATAGTAATGTAGTAATGGTTTGGGGGGGGGAGAGAGGGGAAATCACATAAATTTTAATTGTATGATTTAATAACCTATGACAAGCTCACTAACAGAAAGCCATAAATAACATAACTTCAGCAGATCAAATGCAGGTCGCCCTCATGAATGTAATGATCCAGATTTGTCTTGATGTTTGACATTTAAGCCGAGGCCAGAACCTGATACAGTTTCATTTTTCAAATGTTTTTTCTGCTGTTCTGATTCATGTACTAATGATTTCAGACACCCATGCTCACTGAAATGATACCCTCTAATCCAGATGATGGCACAGACATTTGGCTTTCCAGTCTACTCATATCCCAGCTCTCTGTCATGCTTATTTATTTAAATTCCCATGTTTTTCTTATTTTTTGAAGTGGCCTTTCCAAGCACTATCCCCATCTCCCAGATACCATTTCTCCTCTTGGTCACCCAATGATCAAAAGACACTCCAGGACACCACTAGTGATTCGTTTTCCAGGACGGATGGTTTTTCACTTTCAAGCTTATGCATCTTACCACATCCACAATTTCCAGACAGTTTTCTTGGTGATTTAGAAGAACTCAGTTCTTTGGCATTAACAACATCCCAATCTTTACCAATCTCCCCAAATAGTAGCATACATCAAGTTAAGGGAAATGATTTTATTCCAAATACAGAGATCTCTCTCAGCTCCACGACAGCTCTTCCTCAGTCTTTTCTCCTATCTGCCTCCATCTCACCTTCAACCAGTTCATCTCATGACATAACATATAAGCATGAAAGCAACAATACTGAACTAAGAAAATATAAAGACCTGAGAACTGAAGAGCCAAGTACATCTCTCAAGACGCCGAAAGTCATGTCAGATACTACCACAGAAGATGAACATGTTTTCTCTACCTGCAACATTCCTTTCTTACATAAATGTAGTTCCATTTCTGCCATGCCAGCTGCAAGTGCTGAAAATGAAGAGGAAATCTGTACAGCAGATCTGTCAATTGAATTAGGAGATCAGTCAGAGCCTCAAGAATCAAATTTCTACAGAGAATCAGAAGACGCAACAGAAGAACTGATAAAACTCTATATAGAAGAAGATTTGATATGTGACAATTTAGAATTTCCTGTAGGAAGTAGAGGAGATTCCATAGTATGTTGTGAAGGATGCACATCACCAAGTATCTATAAGGTATTTTAATTTCCAAAAATCATGGCTTCTGTGTTCAGATAAGTAACTCAGTATAATTTTTCTCTTCCTTTCCTTGTATTTATGTTTTTGTACTGTGTGCAGGCAGAGTCTTATTCTGTGGTGTTGAATAAAAATTGTCAGTTAAGGCATAGTCTCTCCTCATAAGCAGGTGCTGACAATGCTAAGTTCTAGGGTGTCTCAGTCCTGCTTCTCCTCTCCTTCTGTCATTGTTGACTTCTATCATCTTTCATAAAAAGCCAGGGAATCATTCTCCTCACTCTGCCACCCTTCTGAGCACAAGACCCCAGAAATGCTATGAGCGTTATTCAGAGGGAAGGATACGTCTCCTGTGGAGACTCAGGCGTTTGTACATCACATGTGTCACTTCACCAGCTGATATATTTATAGTAGACTGTTTCTAGAATGTGACTAGAAACAGATCAGATTACATTTGGCAGTTAAACATATCCTTCCCCATGCAGCCTGCCCTGGTTCCTCTCTGGAACAGTACAACAATGAACTATCTCCAGTGCGTGCTAGCCATTAAACGTTATGATGTTGCTACACAGTTTGTGTGGTTTCCAGGCACTTTTAGAACAAAATTTCTCTGTCCAGTACTTATTCTCCAGAGCATTTGCTTTACATGCTTGCATGAGCCAGTCAAAGCAACTGCCTGAACAGTCTCACTCTTGAAATGTTTTAGGCCAAATGTAAAACTAATTAATTAGAAAGATTTCACAGGCTTCCTTTGCCCTTACTTGACCTGAACAACATGAGAGAAAACAGTAAAAATAAAGGTGAAATCCACTGCCACAAATAGTAATTTGTTTTAATTTTTGAGAGAAGAATTTTCTTCCATAGTAGAAGAATGACAAATAATCAAAATTAGCATCCTATTTCTGACTGTCCATGTTTTTTACATGACTCCTTATTGGGTGTGTTATATCCATAATAGCTGGTTGTATAGCATAATTACTTGTCATCTTTTTTAACTGTTTAAGACAGCTCTGCTTTCTACGAAAACATCAGAAGAGTCTGATAGTCCTTTCCACCTTCATTCAAATCAACCATTTCACTCTGCCAACACACCAGCTTCTCACTCTGTTCTTACAACATCCCACTTTGCTGCTTCCCTCTCACCTCCTCTCCTTTCTAAACTTTTACATGAGCAGGAGAAAGATTCACTGAAGGTAAAGGTAACTGCATTTCTCAAGCATGGGTTCTTGAAAATGCTCACTAATATTTAATAAGTGCAAGGCTAATCCTAAGCATCTATTGTCTCCCTTACTAACATTAAGTAACATAGCATGTGGAGGATTAAGATAGGCCTTCTTCAAATGAAAAGCGAGGAAAAACTGTAATCTCTGTAATATAATGAAATACATAGGCATCTCTGAAAGGAATGCCTCCTATTTATTTCCATGGAAACTACAACAGATACAAGGAGCACAATAACACTATTTGATAGAGCAAATTTTCAGCTGCAAAGCACAGTCACCATTAGCTATGCATTTTTGCCAGTGATGAATAAAACCCTGCATGCTGCACTAGTGAAAACCTGTACCAGCCAAGGTGGATCCACCATCGTGGTCCCACTGCTGAAATGCACCACTCACCGCCTCAGTGTGTTCACACCCACTGTTTGGTCTCTATGGAGCAAGCACCGATGAATATCAGTGGGTACCATTTTTTCCATGTGGAGCAATTCAATGACACACCTTTGGTTCATACTTGTTTCCATGCCAGACACCATGCTGTCAGACTGCCCCTCTGCTGCCATCCACCACACCGCAATAAACTGCAATGGAATATAGATGGGAAGGTTTAATGTCTACTTCCATACCACCACCATCCACTTCTGACATCAAATGCCAACGTAACATGAGACATTACTTGTGAAGTAGCCCTCCAAGATACTAGCACAGCAGAAGACCTTCAGCTCACTTTCAAAAGTTCACGCCAGGACTTCTGTTTCATTCATTTGAATAAGAATACTGAACAATATCCAAGTAAATGGAAACAAAGTAATATTTGTACTTGAAAACACTGTTTAATTTCAACCCAAAGCCAAGGAAGACAGCTCTAAGTTTTACCATAAAGCACTACTACACAGAGTAACATTCTAAATCAATTAGACTAAACAAGGATTATTCTCTCTTCAAGATTACACTTTCTGTCAGCACTGCTATTCTGTGGCAGAAAAATGAATTCTGGAAAGAGACTACAGCTCTAAGCAGATAAATTCCCAGTGCAAGTTAGACCAAAATCAATTTCCAGTGATGACTCCCAGAGTGTCCTTGTGACAAGGAAGAAGAGTCACATTAAAAGTTTGAGAAATTGTCCTGGGAAAAGTGATCATTAGCTCCATGATTTAAAAGAAAAAAAGAAAAAAAAAAAGCACATCATTGAAAAACCTACATCTTAGGTTTTCCATTAACACACAGTCTAAATGTAATGGACTTCTTAAGGTCCGCAAGTTGCAGGGTTTTTTGGTTTTTTGTTGTTTGTTGTTGTTGTTGTTTTCCTGAAGGGAAGTTATTCCCTAGGAGTTCTTGCTAGGGTATGAATCTATCATGGGCTTCAGTGCCTTCTACTTCAAGGAAGGTGTGAAACACAGCAGAGCATTTGTTTCTTCCACTTTGAATAAAAGCAGCAGAAAGGCATTTTTAGGTGACCCTGATATGTCTCGTCCTTGTTTAAGGAAGGCAGGTTAATCACAGATGAAAACGGAGGGAATATTTTTTCTTGGGGAAAAAAAAAAAAAAAAAAAGGTTTTTTTCTACTCCTGGCAACCTCTTAAACAGCACACTGCTCTCTACTGGGCATGGTGGGAAGCACAGGACACGTGTAAATACAGGCCCTGACCCCATCTTTGCAGATACAAGAGCCACAATATCAAGAACTAGGAGGAATGAAACTGAGGGAATGATGTTAAAGAATTCTAGCTTTTAATTCTTTTTGAAAATTGCTTAAATTAATAGATTCTTTTCTGCAATATTTATAAAGTGAGATAAAGATTTAATTTCATTCCAGCAGTAGGTAAATTTGTTTCAGAAGTGAACAGTGACAAAATTGCCAGGACAGTTGCAGCTAAAAAAAAAAAAAAAAAAAAAAAATTGGAGCCCAGCCATTATTTCTTTCTACTTAACCTCTAGCTTAAGCTTTAGAAGGAAGGACAGACCGTACCTGCCCTCTTCTGTTTGTACATGTTATCCATAACTAAAGTCTTACTACAGCTGTTAAATTTAAAAAAAAAAAAAAAAAAAAAAAAGACATTTCCAGGACTCAAGCACTACCAGTGAAGTTGTTCAAGGGAGTTCTTGAAACTCTATACTTTCATGTCTGTTAATGTAAAAATACATCCATATGCATATATGTATTTGGAATAAGGCTCAACTCTAAAGCATGATCTGGGATTCTGGACAGTAGAGTACAAGTAGTTATATGGAAAAGAAGCATCACTTCCATCCATGATGGTGGAAAGAACTTATTCTCCAAAGGAAGAGCTTTAAAGACACTTTCCAGAGGAGAACTGCTGATGTGTTCCTGCCTCCTTGACCTCTGCTGATTTCCCTTCTTTGGCCATTCACCAACTCCTAAAAGACTCTTCTGCCTTATCACTTTCTACTGGCAAACAAACAGATAAACAATACAAAGAAGAGATTTTCACCATATCAGGACTCCACTAGCATCATGTGCCTCTCTACTCACCTGCAGCCCTAGGAATTCACATTTGCCTCCTATCCTTTTAAGTACAGCTTCATGTCAAGTATTTAGCTGGTTAATGGTGATGTTAACCAAACTAGAATTTTTCTTTGAAGTACTTTCCATCAAGTACGTATTTGCTTTCTAAATGCAAATTTAAGGTGTGGTGTCTGTTTAACAGCAACAAATAACAACATTTGTCATTTGTATTTTTCGAGGCAGTGTTTCTGCTGTCTGCTGTTGAACTTTTCCTGTATTGAATGAGCTACTTTAGTAGATAGAGTGCCAACAACTGTTCTTACTTCAAATGCATGCACTGTGCTTGAATGATCACTTCACTTTAATGCATAAGTGCATGTGCCAGAGCAGCAAGCCCTTGAGAAAATATGTGCAAAAATGAAAATACTATCTACTACCAATATTATTACATGCACCTGTAACATACTTGCCTTTTCTTACCAAGGAAAGCACGTCCAATGTGCATGTGTGAATGAAGCAGCAAAAATCCCAAGATGCTTCATTCGTAAACACTCAACTGACACACTTTTGTGGTTTTTCTAGGCTAATTTAAAGAGAGAGATATTTGTTATGGGTAAACCTCCTCGTAGCCCTGTGATGACTAAGAGATCCTGCAGCTCCTCTGTCAGAGGTCACAGCTATTCACATAGGGTATGGTACCAGATGCCCAGTGTGCAGTAACAGCATTTCCATATTAAAGGAGCTCAGTGTCTTCAGTATTTTGTTTTTGCCCAAATGTCTGAATACTATCAGTATGCTGTGTTTTCTTCCTGTTGTGCTTCTGTGCTATGTCTGAATAAAGCCAACAGGTTTACATGTGCCAAACTTGTTATAAATCCATTAGTGTATTGTATCTCAGCAGTACTGCACAGTATTTCCAGTGCTACAAGATGTAAGAGATCAAAGGTCTACAAATATAGCCTGTTTTTTGTCCTAAACAACTTTTTGATTAAAAGTAATTCTAGTTTATTAAATTACAGTTTCCAGAAGTTAAAAATTATCTTATGCAGGCTTTGGTGATGCTGAACTCTTGTTTTTTTTAGCCCATGTCCTTTTCAAAATATTTCATCACTGCTGTATTGAATTCCCTTGAAACTCTTTATCCAAGCACAGCTATCCCAGACTCACACTCTTTAGCCTTTCCCTTCCTAATCATAATATAGCAGCACCATAGCTGTAACAGTTTTACCTTTCCAGAACATTTAATTTGCATGCATTTGGATTTAAAAAAAAAAAAAAAGTTTTCAATTATAGAAAGGATCAAAATTACATAGGACTGAGAATCTATGGAAGGTCTTTGTTTGCTGCAAGGTACAATGGAGAACAGTACTGTCTCCATCTTTGAACAGAGACAATTCAATCATAGGAAGACCAGAAATCTTATAGTACTGGACCAGCACTATCTCAGAGAAAGTCCATAATAAAGAGAATAATTATATCTACACAAACACACACACACACACACAAAGACCAAGACCTATTTTAATTTTGCTTGTTAATCCAAATAAATGGCATGCAGTATGCTAAAGGGACTGTAGTGGTCAATATTTAGTGCATTTCTGAATTCAATTCCAAAACCACGAGAACACAGATTTATACATTCAGAACTCTACAGAACTACTACAAGCAAGGGCACATCAATCATGCATGAAGATCAAGTATACCACTGGAACTCCTCACTTGACTACACACTTCCTAACATTTTTTAGATTAGACCTTACTATTTTTATTTGGTTTTTTGTTTGTTTGTTGGGGTTTTTTTGTTGTTGTTGTTTTTTGTTTGTTTTTTACCAAGGAAACAGGATACTGTAGCAAACCAAACCAATCCATAGCTGGAAGCCCTACATCCATAGCATGAAAACTAACTTAGCATTTAAGGTGATAAATTTCATGGTATCTCCTCAACACTGTTGGCTAGTACATAAGCATTGCACATTCTGGCTAATGCCACTGTATAAAGAAATAAAAACTTAGGAAAAAAAATGGGGGAAAAGCTTCTTAAAGTAAGCTCAGGTAATATAGATGATCACATTCCAATGTCTCCTGTTCAGATATAACACTTCATTTCCCCATATCTTAACTCTGCCAAAGCTTCCTCTGTAGTAGCAACATCCAGTTGAAAAATCTCTCACCATGATCTTGTCTCATCTGTTTCTGTGGTAGTTAACTTACAGTAAAATATTTTAGTATTGAAGCATATGCAGAAAATCTACCAAATTTCTTCTTGGCATGGCATACATTCAAAGCATTAAAATCATTCATAGTATCATTTATTACATTGGTTTTTAATGATTACAAGAAAAATCCATAACTTTGGTTGAATTCTCTTGCATCTCTGACAGTCTTTTGCCATTCAGCTTACATCAGGTATGTAACTAAGATAAATTCCAGATTGCAACAAAGACATCAAGCAACCTGCCCAGTGCTATGTTCTTTTTTTGTTCAACAATTCAGCTGTTGAAGATTTACGAAGAATTCAAATGTCTAATTTGCAATCTTTGTTGTTGGATTCTTGGTTTTGGTAATAATTTTCTTATACATAAACAGAAGAATATAATGGCGAACAGAGGATTAAAGAGTATAAACAGACCTTTTTGACCCTTCAACACCTGTTTCTTCCCTAGCTCTCATCTTTATGAATAAGTTTTGTTATCTACCTGCCTGCATCTTTAGGCACCTTTTAAAATTTACACTCTAGAAACTGTAAAGATGAAGCAGAAAATATTCATGATATTTTCTGCAAGTAAATACACAGTCACGGTTAAAGCTAACTCCTTTGATTACATCTGGAGATGCTGTGAAGTACAAAAAAAAGAATATTAAAATAAATGCACTAGTTTTTCAATTTATACTAGTAGGCTGTGGGTTAGTTATCACATGCTTCTCCCATGGCATCATCTTAGAGAAAACTGAAGCAGGATGAATTGGAATAGTCAAACATGGGAATGAGAGAAGCATGAACCACTAACAAAAACCTCACAGCTTCAGGATCAGATTGCAATCTACTCAATTCATGAAAGAAAGTGTTATAAGCTGTATTTGACACCCACATACCCAAGTTCCTACACTAGTATCAAGCTGTCAGTCTCCTCAACACTATAGGCATCCTCAGACAATGCTGCTCACATCGACACTCTTCCAAGCAGCTGCTCCTGCACTGTTTCTGGCTGGGGCTATGCTGTAATGTGTTAAGTCATTATCTCCCTGAGCAGGTTTCCACTGGGGGATTAATATCTTTCATTTACATCATTTGCAGCTTTATTGGACATTAGTGGTGTGTGATTTAAGACAAAAAATAATTCTTTTAAAGATTTGCACTGGAAATACATTTTTTTCCCCCATCTTAAAGTAGAAGTGTTGTTATTCTCAAACAATCACATACAGGCTTTCAAAAATTCTTAGTGTTCTTGGTTCCCCAACAGCCTGCATGGCTTTGTGCTGCCCCTTAAGCTGGAACGGAATTAAAGCATAGCATGTTATGCCTGCCAAGTTAGTACTGTGTGTAATGTAAATTGGATTGTTCCTTTGTGTATGGATCTGTGGTCTAAATTCTGCAATTAAGCATATAAGGTTTTGTTTCACTTAACTAAAAATATACTTCAGTAATGTATAACATTCATCACTTGCATCTAATTTTTCTAATGCTATTTCTGTTTCACTGTGATGATGCAGCAAAGTTCTGTTCCAACTTTCTACTATGCCATAAACAGACTGTTGATGAAATTAACAGTCTTATTTTAGTTTTTATCTTGTCCTCTCCAAAAAATCAGATTTCTAAACCTATCAAGACTCTATTGCTTGCCACGTCTCTTAAGAATTTATTGTGAGGTTGAGTGTGTGGGGGTTTTTTCATAAGCAAAGTAGAATATGAAAGCTTAAGCAACTATGCATCATACGCCTATCCAACTACTTGGATCTTAGACTATAAATCCTTATTACATTTCAAATCATTTCATTTCAGCCACAGCGCCCAGTGCTTGCTCATGAAAACATACACAGTGGGGGGGAACTGTAAGTATACTTCTTGTCTACTAAAGCAAACCTAACATTTAAGCAACAGCCAGCACATTCTCAAATAATTTGTTGACCTGCCAAGTACTATTATAAAGAGATTTCGTAAATTTACAGATAACCACATGATGTAGGAAGATATCCAACACAGTCCCACAGGACAAAGTTCAGTCATATAATTTAATGTTTGATGTAATCATACATCAAACTCAGACTTACCAACTTAAAGTTCTCCTTCATTTATACTAAAAAGGGACAATAATTTTGTAAGGTTCGACTTTTTATTTTTTAGAATTGTTCTTACTGTCTCCACTGTTACATCTTAGCAGAACACCAATTAAAGACTTTACATTAATTCAACTCATTTGCTTTACTGACAATGCAAATTAGCCAGAAACCATTCTGAATGTGAATTGATAATGTTAATCATGGGAACACAGAAATACTTTTGTGTAATTTATGTGTGCAATTTAAAAATTAGATACAAAAAAGCTTTTTAAAGAACTGGAGAAGAACCTAGATTTCAAGTTGTATTTTTACAATGCAATCAGAATGGAACTTGTAAGGTTGTTTTGGTGCTATTAAAATGCAAATTCAGTGCAAGATTGTTTCAATTTCTTATTTTTTTCCCTCTAGCATCAGAGAGCTTTGGAGCTAGATGAATTCTCCTGCACGCAATTAGGGCTTAGCATCTAAAAATGTTTAACAGCTTAGCTGAAGAAACAGCAAAAGAAAAGAGAGGAGCAGTTATCAAATCATAATTGGACCACAAATAATATATAATAAAAATTGGACATTTTGCTTTCAATCTCAATTAAGCCATTTTTTCCTCAAGCATTTTGAAGCACCTACCTGTTTTGTAAGCAATAATTATCTAAATAATGTTCTTCAGTGAGTTTTAGTAGTGCATGACTAAAAATTACTCAATCCTAAAAAACCAAATATATTTAAATTGTCAACCATATATTGTCTTGAATATGCATTTTGTCAGTGTTATGAGTTTTACTAGTCTTTCCTATTTAAGAAATTCCTAACAAAAGGAATTCTAAGGAAAATTATCAAAAAGGGAGCAAAATGACTACAAAAGTAATGCAAATGAATTAGCTAGAAATGACTAAGAATACAGAGCTGGAATACTTCAGCCTCTTTCACATGTGACTGCCCTAGTCTACACCTTCCTTTTAGCTTCCTTCTTCTGAAGGGAGTCACTGTGCAGAGTTTTTTGTGCCTTCTTTTTCTCTCAATTTAATCTGTTTTATTCCCTGTTCATCTCTGAGGCTGCTGTGACAGTCAGGCACATTCAAGGCAAGAGGTATAAATGCATATACTAACTTGTGATCTACCTCTTATAAGGTGTTCCACTTTGGAACTTATTCTTTCTCATTTTACCAGCTCAATTTGTCTCTTTCCCCCTTCACTACCTCTGTAGATCTTTCTCTCAGGCTGTCTTCACAATATTTTCTCCCTTTCACACATTTTTGCCAGCCTATCTCCTCTTCCTTTAGGACAGAAACCATTTGGAAAACCGCCTATTTCAGCCCTGTAGGTAGCTGGGTCTCATTTTGCCCTCTTCCTACAGTTACACAACAGAGGGAAAGCCCAGGCTAACACAGGCTGTCCCACCAGCAAGGGGCAGCTGCCTGAGGAGAGGCCTGAACCCAACAGCTGCTCCTTCTCAGTACTCGAGGTGCAGGCCACTGCCTCAGGTTTCATTTATGGTCTCCCTTGCTTCTTGGAGTTGCTTGCTACTTAGCTAATGCATAAGAGGACAACTTTAAAAACCCACCCCAGCAATGATGACTTGTGAATAACCAGGGACTGATGTAGCAGGGGCAGTTTTAATTATGGAAAGGGTTATAGCTATCTCCACATAGCAATTACTGCCCTCCTTACCACAGAGGAAGGCACCCAGAGGCAGAGCTCCCAGGTGCCAGCCCTCTCCTAGTAGGTGCTAACAAGCAGCCCAGGGCAGTCCCCACTTTCAGAGGTAGTATGTGTGAGCTGCCCTCCTCAGCATCCACACCACATCACGCAGCAGGGGCCGTGTTTGTATGGTTTGCATTGGCTCTGCCATGGCAGACTGTGAGGACAGCAGGATCAGCAAAGCAAAAGCATGGTCTTCAATGCTGCTCATGGGGGTTAAGAGGCTAGCGCAGGCTACACCCTCCCTCTAAGAAATTATATTCTCTACTTTGGTGACTCAACTATAAAATAATATTTAAACAGAAACGTATTCTAACCAACACTGTGGCATCAGGCTTGCCTTGCAGCCTCGGTCTTCACTGCCCCATTCTTTTGGATAAATTTGGGTACTAGCCTTGATATCTTCCACCAAGCAAAACAAATCCTTTTCCCCTTTTCCTATGCTTGAAGGGAGCTTTACTTATGAGTTACTGTTTAAAACAGCTTCTTTAACAATAATGCAAAGAACTCCTTTTTAAAATGCAACATTTGTCCTATTTAAGGTTTCAGGCTCTATATAACTATACTCCTAGGAACGAAGATGAATTGGAGCTCAGAGAGGGAGATGTCATTGATGTGATGGAAAAATGTGATGATGGATGGTTTGTGGGTATGTTTTAAGTGGTTGCTTTTTCATATATTCTTTATTCCTGACCTCTGCTGCCCTGTTTGTTTGGTATCTTACAAACTAATTAATCTTTGGCATTCACTATAATAAACCTGAATCTGGTTTTACCAGGGGAAATCCCTCCCCACCAAAATCCTCTGAAGTTAATGGGTGATTATTCACTTCTGTACTTGGGAATTGACACATGCTTCTAATTTGTTATACAGCATTATTGTCATTCTCATGCTGACACAGAGTGGACTGTGTATTACTCCTCATAAAAAACTCACATGAGTACTGCTACAGAATTGACTATTTGTGAAAACTGAGTATTACTGAACAAACAGATGCTTAGGTCTAAATAAGGTGGCTAAATCATTGCATAAACATTCATGCACACAGTGGCTACGTTTTTTTTTTTTTTTTTTTTTATCATCTTACTAATCCTTAACATTTCAAAAATCCAAATTAGTTAACTACAAACAAGTGATGCTGTTTAAATTAAATGATTTCTACACCCAAGTCAAAATTTCAGCACATTAGATTTAGCAGAAATTTCAACTGAGCTATACAATTCAATTAAATATGCCTATATTTGCTTTTTCCTTCCTGCAGTTATAATTTGTTAAAATTCACAACTCGCAAGTGAAATACAAAATTCACTTAATTTAATGTAAAGAACAGTAGATACATTTATAAAATATTAAAAAAAAAAATCAAGGACATGCTTACATAGTGATTTTCCTGTTATTATTGCCGTCTTTCATCTGTTGCTTCTAATTTCAGGAACTTCAAGAAGAACCAAATTCTTTGGTACTTTCCCTGGAAACTATGTCAAGAGGCTGTGAATTTTTTTCATTCTTATTTATGCTGCATCTCTGCAACATATCTGCATAAAGCTGCTAGAAAACATGCTACGCTGGCCTTCTGTTTTCTTGCTTGCAGTCTCAAATAGAGGCCATCCAGTTCATCCTCACCCCATCCCATCTGCCAAACTGTTCCAGCAGTATTACAGCAACGACTACCGTGTGAATAACTTTTCTGAAACAAGAGGAATCCTCCCTACGTATAAGTACTCCCTGCTTTTAACTCTTTTTATTTGAAACACAATAGGAAAAGCCTGATGAGAGGTACCCAGAAGAATTGCTACGTTGGGGGGGAGAGGAGTGTATGAGGAGAGGGAGAAAGCCTTCCTTTGTGGTACTATCATGAAGTGTGATGGGAAAATAAAATTTTTCAGCATGCATGTACAACAGAGGGAAAGTTGCTGCTTACTATTTAAGAAGAAAAAAAAGCAGAAAAGGTGTTTTGAGTTTTCACATTCTTATTAGCTTGGCAGCATTTGTTGCTTTCACTTTGCTGTATCACAGGTTTGCCTATTGTACTGGTTTACAATGACAAATTATAATATAGGTTTTTTGCCTGCACTTGTATGTTGTAACTTATACACAGTGACTGTAAAATCTCAAGCAAGTGTAGTGAAAAATGGAAGAACTGCAAGTGTTCTGATGGTGCAATGGTATTTGCTAAACCCTTTTTCCCCCTATTAAAACGACAGCGTTTTCTCTTCAAAGGTAAGAAGTGCAAGAAGTATAAAACCTTGGGAAACAGGATTTAAAGAAGAGACAGACAGTGATATAAGCCTAGACAATAACAACCTGCTGATCATATGACATTAAATGGTTGTAATCAAAATGTTGTAATAGTCAGCATCAGGAAATCTGAGAGGTTAGTGTTTTCATGTACCACAGGCATTTTAAGCAGCAGCAAGTAAACAGTGTTAGTGCAAAGGATTGTTTTTCCTCTAACATAGCCACCTGAAAAACATTCACAAATATCATGTACTGATTTATTTCACTATACACACACACGTATATACATGTATGTTAACAAAAGCTGAGTTACACATTGTTTTTTAGGAATTTAGTACATTTTAAAAAAAATCACAAGTATTAAAATCAATATGTTTTAGAGGGTTTGGGTTGTTGTTTTTTTTTTTTTTCCTGAATGAATCAAGTATTTGAAAACAGACATTCTCCATATGCAACTGTAAGCATAAATAGCATATGAAATTAAGGCACAGGATGATAATGACTACAACTTCATGAAAAAAAAAAAAAAGAATTTTTTTTCCAAGTCAGATTTGTTTTCTTTGGCACCTTATAGATGGCAAAAGCTTCTACTGCATTTCTCATGGGTAAAGGACTGAAATTATCAACATGTATTTAGTCTCTGTAGCATTTTGTACATATGTTTGCTTTTTTGTACAGAGCCATTTGGTTGTTGATTTTAAAAAAAAAATTAAGTTCCTTATTTGATCTTCACCCTCTTTACATACAGAACATTTCAATGCATTTTGCTTTACTTGCTCTATTTACCATAAGCACATCTGAATAGTGCAATTCTGTAAGATAGCATTTTATGCAAAATTTTATTAATTAAAATATGGTTTACCAGCCAAATCTAAATGTACATATGTCTTTATTACTGAGAAATGTCATTAAGACAAAGGTAAAGAAACATCTTTGTGCAGCATACCTTTATTATTGCAGATTTAATGGTAAAAGCTTTATATTTCAAAGGCTTTCAATTTTAAACTAGATCTGCATGCAGCTTTGCTGTGAGATTAATTCCTATCTTTGATGCCATTTATGATTGAAGACTTAAATATCTGTTGCCTGTGATATTTAAAAAGTACTGTTTCTACTCTGTATCTGATTTTAGAAAAATACAGGTTTTTCGTACCTGGCTTTCAGGTAATTGACTTTGAATTCCTACAAGCAAAAGGTCTCTGTGTTTTTTTTCTTGAATAGACTTCTAATAAATTTTGCTTGGAGTACACAAGTGTTTTCTCCGTCATTTCTCAAATACATGTAACAGACTACTCAAGTGCTACAAAACTCCTTAAGCTTTTACATACAAGTACAATCAGTGTTGTCTTTACAGAGACTTTCTTCTACCACTGAGCATACACAGGTTGCAATACGGACAACCAGTATTGTCAACACAGTTGTCACTTCATCCACTTCAGTGTCATCCCTAAAACTCCTGAATCCAAAAGCAATTCCCTGGGCTTTTTGCACTGACAGTACTAATGCAAGGTAATTTTTCTGTTACCAGAGCTGGCCTTTGCTCCTGAAGCACCGAGATAAAGTACATTACTGAAGCCCTTTGTATCTCACAGAAGTTCCACACCCTAATTCTTTCCTTAAGCAAAAGGAAAACAAGAGAAACAAGCTAGAAATAAGACTTACAAAAAATACAGGCTTGGGAGAGAGCATCTTATGCTTGGGGCTCTGTCTGAAGCACTGAGTTACCCCTGTTAATGTCTCTGCCTGGCAAAGAGCAGCTTGCTGTTCAAACAAAACCCAAGCCCACAGGAAGCAGAGCATACAGGCAGCGGCCTTCTTTCCCTGTGTGGTTACTCCTGGTGCCTCCAGGCTCCCTGGTCCTGCTCCTCCAGCTCTCGTTGGCCTCCACTGCCAGTATGACACCTTCCAGACGTGCTGTGCTGCACTCTTACTGCTGAAGAGTGAGGCATTCTGGCGCAAATAATCTATTTCTGACTTGCACAGCTTTGTCTTTACAATAGCTGGGCTGTTAGAATGCCAGCAAATGAGCTCCTTTGTCAGCATAAACAGATTCTGCTGGGAGTGATTTCAATTTGGACAAGACCTAATTTAGCCAGCAGTGCCGTCTCTTAGGTAAACATGCCCTCACAGCACTAAGTTAGCTTAAACCCACCACACGTCTCTTGCTCTATAAACTAATGGCTGAGTATACAAGCACATGCTGTATGGTTTGCCCTTCTGTCTGCTGGCTCGGTGATTCTGTGCATCTGAATTCTCTTTTCTAATTGCAAGAAGGAATAAAAAAAGTGTAAGGATAGATCATAATAAGAATTGCAAGTCACTGACACCAAGAAAAACTTTAGAGTCTGTGGTTTAGTCAAAATGTGTTGCAAGGTGACCAGAAATGTAAAATTAAAGGACAACACGGAGGTACAAGTTCTGTCCAGGTAAACAAAATATACTGAAATAGGCAAGGTCCGTTGAAATTCCTCCTATGCTATTTATGTAACAGTCCAAAGGACTTTTTGAGCTTTTCTGTAAAATTCTTATATACTCCCCTATAAATTCATGGAGGGCAATGCATAGGACTGGAAGGTGCTATATCTTTAACCAGAACTAGAGATAAATTGAGGAGACCTGTCGAATTTGGTGTCAGTTGGTTTAACTGACTGTTTTGTTTTTGTTTTATTTTTTAACTTAATCTAGGTTTTTTTTCTAGAAAGGACTTCAGATTTTTCTAGAAAATGGTATAGCAAACCAATTCCCCTTAATTTTACTGAAATATGTAGCATGGATCTTAATTCCTATTAGGATTATCTTTTAATGCTATCACATGATAGCTATACTGGCAGGCTGAGAAAAGTCTGCTAGAGTGTTCCTGAAACTAAGTTCATTGTACAGCTGCACTGTGTCACAGATCAAAAAGTCATGCAACCAGAGCTTCCCCATACAGCAGCAGATTCTGCTGCCTACCTTTTGGCAAGCTGTCCGCCTGCTGTTCATCACCTGCGTGGGAGACAAAGGCCACTACAAAACAAAACCAAGCAACCCCATGAAACACCAACCAACCAGGGACACTGAGGCATGAGCTTTTCAAGGTAACACTATATCCCAAAGCTAAGGGTCACCCCAGCAGTTTTAACATTCTGTAGCCCGTGCCAAAGGCAAGTACGTTGTCATTCTGCAATGCCCGGTATTTACCAGCTGCCTTTTAGCTGCTGCTGTACACAACTGTGGCAGGAACACAGGGTGCTTCCTGTAGATTCCAAAAAGCAATGCACGAGCTAATGGGAAGCTAGAATTATGAAGTAAGCAGCTCTAGAAAGACCTCAGGTCATCGCACTAAGTACATTCACCATGTAACTATAAATGCTGTAAGGGAAACCCTAGTTTTGCTTCAGTTAACAGCAAACACCATTGAAGTCAATAGATTGTGAATTTGCTTCAAGGATCATATTGTTAACGCATGTTTTACGTTAGCTTGAAAAGACGACTGCACAAGAGAGAAACACTGAAGCAAGTGGATGTCTGATTTGGGCTGGTTTTTCAATCACATCAAGAAGTATGAGTGTGGGCAGAGCCCAGAACACACTTCTTCAGCTGCCCCCACTGCACAGCACAGCTGATAGTAGGTACCCTTCTTTCTCTAGGGTCTAGCTGGCACATTCACTTGAAGTCAAATTGTACACACCACCGCAGTTGCAACAGCACATTAAAAATTGAACTTCTGGCCTTTTCTAATTCGTTTACACAGCATAATCCCTTGTTACACTCAGTGAGGACCAATCAGACGCAAACCTGAATCCACCCATCTTACAGAGCCTGGAAGTTCCCAGTCAAACATGTAGGAAGAGGTACCTTGTCTGTTCTAAGTAAGCAGGGGATGCTTTAGGCTTTCTTCTGCAACTCCTCAGGTAACCAATACCACACAGCTATTTGATTGGATGCAAAGAGTGCCTTTTTGTTTTATCTTCCCCCAGTGCTACACGAGCTAAGTTGTAAACTCCTCGCCAAAATTGCTCCATAGGATCTATTATTCTCATTAATACATTCTTTTGAAAGTTACAAATATTGTTCTATTTACCTACCAAGAATACGATACAATTCACTGAAAGGGAAAGAGAAAAATGAATTTCTGCTTGCACATCCCTGACTCAGATACTGCTTAGGTCAAAGAAAGTGATGCTGGTGACATACAGGCTCTTATTCACGTATTTTTGCCACTCTAAGACAAAGAAAGACTAAAAGAAGTTTCTAGGTTAACATGCAGTGACAAAATCAGCAAAGAGCTTGAACAGTACAGCAGGTACAGTTTTTGTTTTCATCCTGCTGGTTGGTATTATCAGTCACCTTAATTCTTTAGCAGTTCTGAATCCATAACTCCCAACTCCTGTTTCATTTGCTTTGATGTGAGTCCCATACGTAAACCATTATGGAGTTTTGCCCTTAGTATTATATTTAACTTCTGTTTCTTTGGGAGTCATTGAGGAGCAACGTGCTAACACACTATTTAATCCAGCAGAAAGCAGAAAGCCTTCATACTGAAAGAGCTATCCCACTAAGCAGCTGCCGCAGTGATGTCACGTCTAATTGCAGATCTGGTGCAGCAGGTTCCACTGCACAGTGGCATTACATCACAAACGACTCCATAGGAAAAAAAACAAGTGTTGTCTGACAACCAGAAATGCGTTGCTAGGTTCATCCTCAGAACAGATACTCCAGCTTCAACCATTTACATTTCTTGCTGCCAACACAAATAAACTCTGAGGCCCTTATTTTGCACCCACATACACACATAGCACAGTAATCCTCCTACATTTTCCATCCATCAGGAAAAAAAAAATCAATTTTTAAAATAACCCAAGAATAACGTAATTCTGTTTCCAGTCAAGACAGTTGCACACAGGAGAAGAAACTTCTGTCACAAGCTCCCATCTCACTCTATGAGAGGGTCCTGTACTCCCTTGGGCCCACTCTAGCTCCAGCCGATTTGCATAGTAGCTTTCTATTTAACTACTGGGCCCTTTAACACTTCTTTGGCCTCTACTCCATTTCAGTTCATTTCAAAACTTTCTACAAACATCATGTGTCTGTGTAATAGGGTAATCAAACCTGCATCAAGATTTTCCCTTGCCACTCAGACAGGTAAGCACAAACCAATGCTGTAGATGACAGCATGAGTAGCCCAAACATGTCATTCTAAGTGGGTCATTGCATTGCTGCTGCTGCTGCCATTAGCCAGATAAACCTAAAGCACACGAGGGCTCAGCTAGTGCTTCCCACTCCGGGGCGAGGGTTAACACTGGCAGCTGTAATGTGAAACATGTACAAACACCGGCTGGCGCAGGAGCTGTGAAAGGCTTTTCTTACACTACTACTGATTCATCTGTTATAGATAGGTGTTTTCTACATGTAACTGGAAATATTCGAACAGGTGAGAATCAGCCCTTCCCCCTCTTAAACCAAGGAAGAGAATAAATTAACGCGTCAAAATGTCTGAGGTAGTAGAAGGCAATGCTTGCGTGCCAATGGAGAGCTCTGTGCACTATTTATAGATCCTCTTCATGTGCTCTATGGGGCTCTTACTTTTCCCTCCTGTTCCACCACTCATTCTCTTCCCATCAATCCCCAGAGGCTCACCAAAGGAAAGACTGCAAGGCATGGAAGGTGACATTCTACAACTGAAAAAATACTAAGGATCTGTTTTACCCCATTCAATGTCCCTGTCTCATGCACCACCTTATCCAGACGTCCCCCAAAGCACTACCTGCATCATATACTCATTGAGCATGGGAGAGACCTTCAAGATCATCAGGTCAAACAGGCAACTTGACAAAGCATCTTCATAGAATCACAGAATGGTGTGTCAGAAAGGACCTTTAAGATCGTCTAGTTCCAACACCCCTGCTACAGGCAGAGACCCCTCCCACTAGACCAGGTTGCTCAAAACCTCATCCAGACTGGTTTTGCATGCCTCTAGAGAGAAGACACCCACAATCTTGCTGGGCAACCTGTTCCAGTATCTCACCACCCTCACAGTAAAGAATTTCTTCGTAACATCTAGTCTAAATCTACCCTCTTCCAATTTAAAACCATTTCCCCTTGTCCTGTCACTACTTGCTCTTATGAAAAGTTGCTCCCCAGCTTGTACCCCCTTCAGGTACTGGGAGGCTGCCAAGAGGTCTTCAGAACCTTCTCCCAGCTGAAGAGCCCCAGCTCTCTCAGCCTGTCCTCATAATGGAGGTTCTCCAGCCTTCTGATCATCTTCATGGCCCTCCTGGTCATCACCACCTAAAATCCAGATCTTCCACAAATGGAAGACACCTCCTGCATCATGCCAGAAAGCTGTGCTGCCCAACAGCTTACACAGAGCATCATTAGTACCAGTTTGAAGGTCCCAAGTTAAAGTCCTGACACTCATGTGAGGATATTTCAGTAAGCTGTTTTTGAGATTTTGAGAGTGCAAAACAGAAATTGCTGAAATGTGACGGACAGACAAGAGGAAAATCTAATCTTTAGGGGCAGTTTTCTGTGTGTGTTTCTGAATTTTTTTTTTTGTTTTGAACTTTGATATTTTTTATGGGGGATGGGAGGTGGAGAGAAAGGGTAAGGATCGAAAGGTAGATTTACTCCCATTTCAAATGACTTCCTCTATAAACTTATTTACCTGTCTTCACAATGTGGGAAGGGAATTTTCCTTAAGGGTCTTCCCTATGGAGAGATTACCCTCCATTTCTGGCCTGGATTTCTGTATTACCTGGATTTCTATATTCTATTCAGGAGCAAAAGTTCCAACTACATATGAGTAATTAACTCCCCACATACTGGAGTAAAGCAAAAGTGAACGTGTAAATATTGGTTTAAGACTATATTTATGAATATTCATATCTGACAGTTTCTACATTAACTATTTCAGATGCGGTAATTACTTATCAATAAAGACAAGACTTCATCATAGTTACATTTCTGCTGGTTTTTGCCTACACTGCACTTACATTCTTTCACAGTGTTGACAGCTTTTTCAAATGTTTTTTCACTGTATATTTAGTGCTACATTCACTGAATAAAAGCAAAGAAAAAGTGCAATCAGGGCAAAGTGTGAAATGCATAATTAACTACTTTTATTCAATATTTGATTTTGCTGTTAAGCAACTAATTCATGGTTGTTGAAAAGCTGATTACGTCCTTTTAATTAGCAGAAAGAAATCAAAATTATAACTAGGAAAATACTTAAGTACAAGCTAAATTTAAGTATCAAGCCTGAGTAACTACAGTGCACATCAAGATTCTAAGATCCAGCTTTGTGGCCTGCTACAATCTGAAGCTGCTGATCTCTGGCTCTTATCCCACCTTATACTTAACACAGAACACCATATTTGTCTTTCAGCTGTTGCTGTTTGTCATGATCCAGTAAATACAGCCAACTCTCCCATAGCAACTACTTTCATAATGCTAAACTCAAGCCACACAGAAAATTGGAAATGGAAAACGTGAAAGAAAACAAGATATAGAACACAGTGGTTTATGGAACATCAGATAACAATTGTAAGTGACATATTTCTGATGCCTGCTTCTTAAAGAAAAACATTCAGGATGTTTGGTACTCAGGCCACCAAAAAAAAAAAAAAAAGTGTTGTCTGTACCTGTGATCTCATAATTTGTTTGTATATGAAGTCTCATCTCATGAGAGACCACAAACAGATCAAAATGAAGAG